AAGATTGTTCGTGTATAACATACAAAATGGTTCAATCGGTCCAAAAAATGCTACAATTCCAAACAGTTTTTCGCTACAGATATGACGTGTTGCCTATGAAGGGTGCTGCTCTTAAACGTAATGAGTAATGTGTTGTGTTCACTCGTGTGCTGTCTAGATCTAGATCTAGATCTACGGAGGGTTATTGATAACGACACATAGAACTGGCATCCGCGGTGGTCACTGCCGTGACCAATAATGTACTGACACTGGCAGGCCCCTTAATGTGTGTGATTCCATAATTTACATGTAATATCCTGTACTTTTTTTGTTTAAATTACGCACATTTAGGGTTAAAACAGCAAATCTTCTTCGGACAGGTGGACACACGCCCTTATTTATTTGTTAATGTTTGTTGTTTATCATGAGCTGTTCTAATTTTTATTTCATTCTGTTGTGAAACCTTTCTTTTTCACGTTTTTACACTCATCTAAAAATCTCTAGACTAGTTCTTCAAAATTGAAATAGATATATAGACCCAAAAATTTGCTCCTGTGTGTGTGTGTATGTATGTGTGCGTGTGTGAGTGTGTCTGTGTGTGGTAGTAAGTGTGTAAGTGGAGAGTGAGGAGTGTGTGTGTGTTTGTTTTTCGGGCTTTATTTCAGCCTTCATTCAGTAACAGTTCAAAGTATACAAAAATAGAAACACAGGATCCATTCACTCCAGGGCTCACGAGTCGTTCATCTTTTTCAGTTTCACTCTTTCATTCAATTCCTGTGTTCTCTCCCGCAGGTCATCACCGTCCGAATGACTTTCACACCCCACCCCCTCCCTCCAGGCACACACAAAGAAAATCTCACTCATTCCCTTGCACCCTGCGAACCATGGACAATAATATAGGCAAAACACTGCCTGAGCTGCATTACTTTCGTTCGTGAGCTGTGGACCAGGCCAGGGGGGTCGGTGTCGTCGTCTTGTAGTTGTAGTTGCTGTCGCCTGTGGATACACTCGCACATTCTTCCTTTCACCCGCTCTTTCACTCACACTGTCTCTCCATCCACAGCTCAGTTCGTCATACATTCAAAAGTTGCCCACTGGTCATGTTTAGTTAATGTGTGTATAAGTTTGTGTGTGTACATGTGCATGATGGTGGTGGGAGTGTGGTGGGTGTTACAGAAAAAAAGGTTGTCTGTAGGCGGGCTTGCCATGTGGTTTTCCTTCCCAGACCAGAGGCAGAATGAAGGTTGGCGCCGAACTCTCGCAATAAATAGGAAAAAAATCACGAGACCGGAAGCTGGAAACCGTTCGGAGAAATAAAGATGGGCACTATTTCTCCGAACGTTCGGAGAAATAGTCACTTCGTATTTTTACTAATTGACTTGGCTAGCCCTAATCTCGGAATAAAACCTTCTTTCTTATATCTAGATATATAGATCTAATCTAGATTTCATTGCGTGAGATCTAGATTTTCTAGATCTAGATAATCTAGAAATCTAGATTATTTTAGATCTAGAATCTAGATTAGATCTAGAATCTAGAATCTAGATCTAGATCTAGATTCTAGATCTAGATATAGTCCACTGTCCAGACGAAATAACCCGTCACTAATTGCAACAGAAATAATTTCGATGCGAAGTGGTAGAAAAGGGTGTTTTGAACA